GCTGCTGCTGGCCGGCGCCGACCCCAACCGCGACGTCATCAGCCCCCTGCTCGTGGCCATCCGCCAAGGCTGCATGCGCACCATGCAGCTGCTGCTGGACCACGGCGCCAACATCGACGCCTACATCGCCACGCACCCCACCGCCTTCCCCGCCACCATCATGTTCGCCATGAAGTACCTGTCGGTGCTCAAGTTCCTCATGGACCTCGGCTGCGACGGCGAGCCCTGCTTCTCGTGCCTGTACGGCAACGGCCCGCACCCGCCCGCCCCGCCGCCCTCCAACAGGTTCAACGACGTGCCCGCCACCGACAAGGCGCCCGGCGTGGTCCAGGTAGGGCGCGCGTGGCCGGGGCCAGAGCACTTTGAAGGCACTGTGGCCTAGTGGTCCAGTCGCTGTGGAGGCAGAAGGGGATAGCAGTTAAGGGGCTTTGGAGGCAGTGTGGACTAATGGTTAGTGTACTTTGGCGCGCGTGTAAACTAGTACTTAGCACACTTTGGAGGCAGCGGAACCTGGTGCTTCGCATGCTTTAGAGGCGGCAGACCTTAGTGGTTCACGCGGACAATGAAATCCTTTTGGTCCGCTGGCCTAGGGAATTTAAGGAACCAACATCGGAGCAGGGGGCGGGTGGGGACCTCTGCAAAGCTGCGGGGTCCATCACTCCTGGCAAACCTGCACGTGGGATGTGATGCTGAATCTCCAGGCTCGGGATGGAGGTGAGAGCAGGTGGGATAAGGACAGGTGAGCTGCAGAAAGTCAGTGACCCAGACACAGGACCTGTCCGTGGTGATGTCTTAAAGAGTCAGAACCTACAATGAAAAGGAAGTTAGAAACACTCTCCTCTTGGAGAGAATGATAACGGCTAATGGCCATCATTTGTGGGCCACCTACTGTGTGCAAAGAAAGAAATTTATGTTCATATTACTTTAATTCTCATCAAAAACCCTTGAAGCTGGTGTTATAGACCCGTTTTCTAGACAAGGAAGTTGAGGCTTAGAGAGGTGATGCAGCTGGCCCAAGTGGCCCACCTCCCACTTTTGGCAGCAGCGGCTTGTGTGATAAGAGAGGAGAACTGGATCCTGGCGTGGGTGTGCCCGGGGTCTGTCCTGAGACGTGGCCCTGCCCTCGCCCGCCTCAGGTTCTCTCCCTCCTGAGCTCGCTGGGGCGGAGCCCTGGGCTCTGGGCGTGGGTCCTAGCGCTGGCGTGTGCTCTCTTTCAGTTCTGTGAGTTCGTGTCTGCCCCAGAGGTGAGCCGCTGGGCGGGGCCCATCATCGACGTCCTCCTGGACTACGTGGGCAACGTGCAGCTCTGCTCGCGGCTGAAGGAGCACATTGACAGCTACGAGGACTGGGCTGTGATCAAGGAGAAAGCAGGTGGGGCCGCCGCTGCCATTGGAGGCCGCCCCGCCTGACTCAGGCCCTGGGGTCGGGCCTGGGACTGTCAGTGATGTTTCTTGGGCACCTACTCCGTGTCAGCTCCATGCTGCATGTCACATACAGTGTCTCCGTGACTCTTTGTTTTATAAATGAGGAGACAGACCCTCAGAGAAAGGATGTCACCGGGGCCAAGGTCTCACTGCTAGTTAGTGGCAGAGCTGGGATTCAAACCTAGGTTTGACCAATACCCAAGTCCCTCCTCTAAATCTTGCCAGGGTGTTTTAAACGGTTCCAGCCCCCTGAAGGGGATCAGGACCTTTGGTGCCATGTTTTGGGCCGCTGAGAGCGTCTCAGACTCTAAAGTGCATGTGAAGCACCTGGGCGTCTTGTTAAAAGTGCAGATTCTGGGCCAGCCCTAGTGGCCTAGTGATTAAATTTGTCCCACTCTGCTTTGGCGGCCCGGGTTTGGTTCCCAGGCTTGGACCTACACCACTCGTCCATCAGTGGCTGCGCTGTGGAGGCAGTTCACATACAAAAAGAGGAACATTGGCAGCAGATGTTAGCTCAGGGCAAATCTTCTTCAGCAAGAAAAAAAATGCAGATTCTAACTCAGGTCTGAGACAGGGCCTGAGAATCTGCATTTCAGCATGCTCCAATGTGGTACCAGTGCTGTTGGTCCACAGACCACACCTGGAGCAGCACTGATCTAGGAGGCAGGCGCCCAGAGCTCTGGAGCCAGGGTCTTGCTGGGTGACCATGGGCAGGGCCCCCCTCTGGGCCTCAGCATCCCCATCTGAACAGAGGAGGTTGGGCAGGCTCGTTGTCCAGCCCCCTCCAGCTCTGCCAGCCTGAAGTGTTCGCGGGTGGGTGTGCCCGGCACAGGGAAGTGGGGTTTGGCCACGGTCCAGCTGCCGTGTGCCGTGTAGATGGGGCAGCCTGGCAAAGTCAGGCCGAGCATCCCTCTTAGGCATTATGGGGCTCACCTGGGCAGGTGAGGTGTCAGTGGCAGTCAGACTGGGTACTGCAGCCGATTCTGAGAAACGGGCGCCTGCCCCGAGGAGTTCTCGATACCCCAGGCTTTCTCTGTCTCTCTGACTAAGTGTTTGTCAATCATGCATCGAAGAGGCTGACGGGCAGCGTCATCGTTATCCCACCGCTGCTGCTGTCCCCAGACGAGACTGTGCTGCCTCGTTGCCTGTCCACTGACTGTCCAGGTGCCCCACACCCCAGAGCCCCGACTCTGATTTGCCAAGTTCTTCCTTAGATCCTCACGCCCCATTGAACCCAAACCTACTGTAGGGTTTTTCATTTGCACAAATGCCTGGGAAGCACTGGAATTGAGACCTTGGATAAAGTTACTGGGGAGACGCCTGGGGGCAGGTGACACTGACTTGCCCGCTCACTGGGGGCACAGCTCTAGATGCTCAGTAAACATTCCTGGATTTCGTGAATAACTGGTTGCTGTCACCATGATCCTCAGCCACTAGAGGGTGGCGCGGTCCTTGCCTAGATGTCGGCCCCACCCCTCACTGTCCTTCCTCCTGCCCTCCCTAGAGAAGGTTGTCCCTTGCCACCAGACCCGTGTCCCAGGGAAAACCTGCAGAACCCATCAGTGTGTTCTACACATTTATTAACAGGGAGAACAAGTAGTTCTTAACCAATACTATTATGGTTACTTTAACGCCCACACTGCGTCTGCAAACACCCTCCAGGCGCCTTTTCATTTAATGCTGTGATGTTGACGTCATTACTCCTGGAGTCGGGCAGATGGAGGCTCTGAGAGGGGCAATGAGAAGACGCCGGAGCCAGCCGGGGACGCCAGCCCAGCTCTGGTGGCCCTGTGTCCTCTGCCCCCCAGTGGCCTCTGGCCTTCCTGCCCACAGTCAGCTGAGGAAGGGGCTGAGCTTCCCAGGGGGCCGGCTCTGTCCCAAGTGAGACTGCAGGGCAGTGGAAGGGTGGGAAACGTGGCGATGGGCACCTCGTGAGGCAGCGCCTGGCCTGGCCTCTCCACCCTCCCCCACGTCCCCTCTGCATCCCCGTCTTCCTGGGCGGACCTTTTCCAGGTGGCCAGGCCTCCTTGGCTTGACAGGCTGTTTCCTCCGCTTGGAAGGCCCCTTCCTCACCTGGTGGAGTCCCACCCACCCAGCAAGACCCTGCTCTGATGCGCCCTCTAGTGTGGAAGCCTTCCCCAGCACTCCTGGGCGGCACCGCTGCAGCTCCGGCCAGGAACAGCAGGGGGTCAGCGTTTGTTGAATGGATGAATGAATGAATGACATTCTTTGATTCAACAAACACCTTCCCTGTGCCAGACCCTGTGCCCAGGGCTGAAATAAATCACCCGGTTACTAGATGCATCAGTCCTTGTTCTTACCTCTCTCCCTGCCCCCCAGCTGAGAAAACTCCACTGTATGAGGCACCCTAGGGGGCCTCCTGGAGGAGACAGCCATGTGGGATTCTGAGACCTACTGGGAACTGCCCCCTGCCCCCTGCCTCTGACCTCTCTGCACCACCTAGAGCCCAGAGCTGAGTTCTGTGCATGGGGGCACTTAAGAGGTCACACTCACTGACCCCGTTGCTAAGCCGTGTTCGGGGTCCGGGCTGTGTATGTGGAGGAAGGAGCACAAGACGAAGGAGATGCCAGCTCTGGTCCCAGTGTGGTCCTGAGTCCTCCCCTGTGGGATGGGTTTGGTACCTTCCTCCTTGGGCTGTGCGGATCAGTGAGGGGTGACCAACGGGAGGGTGCTTTGCCAGATCTTTTCAGCCAGCAGGGCCTAGGGTTACGCGACCCCGCCCACCCACCCAGCCACAGCGGTGGGGCACCCCCACGTGCCAGAGGTCACAGATGCAAACCCTTTGCTGGTTGCAAACGACAAATCAGCATCTCTCTTTCCCTCCTTTTTCCAGAACTTCCCAGACCTCTGGCTCACCTTTGCCGGCTGCAAGTTCGAAAGGCCATTGGGAAATATCGTATAAAACTCCTGGACACATTGCCGCTCCCAGGCAGGCTGATTAGGTACCTCAAATACGAGAACACCCAGTAACCGCTGCAGAAGGATGCCTCCTCACACTGTTTTGCTGAGTCTCAGGACAGTGGTGTCCCCAAATCTAAGCGGAGCTGGTGACAGACGAGGCTGTGGGCCGCCTCCCTCTCAGCTGGGGCAGCCGCCCTGACCTCGCCGCCGGGTCTCTGGGGCGGAGCTTTGCCCAGAGCAGAGGACGGAATGTGTCAAGTAGGAGAAAAACGTGCTTGTTTTCAAACTGTTGAGTAGATCCAGACCTTCTCTGCCATCGGGCTTGGCAGAAGCCTCCATTCCTGGGGCAGGAGAGGGGGCAGGGCAGGACTCGGGGTGGGCTCGAGAGGGCAGGGGCCCGCGGAGGAGCTTCGGCCGGAGAACTTTTGGGGAGGTCTGCCTTTCCTGGACTGCCTCGCCGCAGAGCTGCCCCACGCCCCTCGCCCTGTGCTCTGTGACTGCTGAGCCTTCTCCCGAAGGTGTGGCCGGGTGGGGCGTGGGGAGACCCTCGGTCCCAGAGGGCTTCCTTCCGTACAATAAATGTTGCACAGATGACGCCTCGCCCAGTGAAGCCCCTCTCACCAGACCCCTCCCCAGGGCCTGAGGTCCTCAGCCCTGCACTTGGTGGGAGTGAGGGTGGGGCAGGGGCTGGGGACAGGGCACACAGACCCCTGAGCCTGTCACCTCGGTTTGGGCTTCTGAGTGTGTCCTTCATTCACCGGAAGAGACCTGATGGCCGAGGAGAGGCGGCAGGGTTCTGCCTTGTGATGGGAGCCCCCGAGGGTAGTTGTTCTGTCCAGGTTCACTCACCATGGAAACAGGAGCATCATCACAGACAGGCTCTCTGTGCTTACAAGTCTCCCAACACCTAGGATGTCTGTCTTACACACACGTCTCCCCTGGCACTCTGTCTTCACGTCGTACTCACCCCTGTTTTGCTACAAAAGTTGAAATACTAGGGGAAAAAACAAATCTACGTACTGGCTACTCTGAGCGAGGGTGCTGGAGTGATGGCCGCCATCAACCCTTGCAAAGGCACCAGACTTCAGAGGCATGAAGCCCTGTGCCCTGCCTTGCCTCCTCTGGTCCTCACGTGGCTCTGTGGTGGAGCCAGGGGACGCTGCCGGCCTGTTTTTGGGGCATAGCTGAGAGAGCTGAGGCTCAGCACAGTCGTAGCGCTTTCTCGTGTTCTGAGTCCTGTGCGCTGAGACGGGCACGGCCTGCCTCCGCAGAAGCTGCGGCGCTCTCTCCGAAAGGCCGATGAAAGGCACTGGAGTGTAGGCCCCTCTGCAGGCCTCCAGGCCAGGCCATCTCGCCAGGAGCCCTTGCCGGGCCCCTGCCCAGAGTCCAGAAGAGCCTTAAGCAAGGGCGAATGTCATTTCTGGCCTTTGGAAAGTGAGCATCCGGGCCAGTGGGGGAGCGCTGATGCCAGGCTCGCTCCTCTGGGGCCTTGGGTTCCTTTTTGTCATGGCCCCTGGTAGTCTTGCCGGCTCTGACACTGGGTTTCCATGGAACCAGTAAGTCCCAGTATGGGCCTGAAGAGGAAGAGGCCACCAGCAGCACTTTCCAACCATGGGTCAGAGGGGACTCGGCTGACCTTGCCCACTCCCTCCAGGTACAGTTGGGAAAGCAGCCCCAGAGAGGGAAAGGCACTTGGCTTGGGCACACACAGCAGGTCCCCAGGGTTTCAGCCCGACAGTGCTTGCCCAGGGTCCCACGCTGCCTTGCTGTAGAGATCCTGAAGGAAACCTGTGTCCTCCCAGACTGGGGATGTTCAACCCAGTGCAGCGAGGGGAGGGGACCTCAGGGGAAGTGGCCAAGTGGGGAAAACCCTGCCTGAAAAATGCCTGTGCTGCCCTGGCAGCCAGGGGAAGAGGCTTTAATCTTGGCTGGGGGTGGCAGGAAGGGATGGGACCGGGCAGAAAGACGTTCAGTGCATTTGGAGTGTGGCTGGGTATCAGGCAAACTCAAACTACAGCACTGCTCAGGTCACCTAATGTCCAAGAGAGTCCTAACAGGCAGTGGCCTCAGGCACTGGGCATGGTGGGGATGCTGGGCTGAGGGAGCTGCCCCCCTGGAGGAGGTGAGGCTGAGGAGGGAGGTGGGGGGTGTGGGGAAGGAGGCCTCCGTCACTGCATTCAGCATCAGCACCATTTATTGGTGGGATGTGGGGCCCCTGGGCCTGGAATGCGCCGGTGCTGTATTAGAATATTGATGGACATCCCTGCCAGTTGGTCACAGCTGCTGCTCAGGGCCGCTCCCCACCAAGAGCCTTGCCCAGCCTTGGCTTTCTCAGGTCCCTGTCCCCCCTTCCCGCCCCCAACCGCTCAAGGGTAAATGCTTGCTTGCTCCCGAGGCTCCGTTCTGATTGGTCGGTGCTCAGGCCGGGCAGGTGGTTACGTTTTTTGACCATCACCGCTGTCAAGAGGACTTGACAGCCGTCACCCCCTGCAGAGGCTGCCCCCACCCCTGCTTACCCAGCCTCTGGGAGGACGTCAGCCTCAGAGGTGTCTCACAGCATCACCAAAGCCTTAAGATCCTCAGAGAGGGGCGTCTGGCCAGTGCTGGGGACTGGAGGCTGGGGCAGGAGGGGAGCTCCTGGCTTCACCGTGAACCCACACGAGTCACCGTCTGGTCAGGCGAGCATCTGCTGCTGCTGCGGCTCCTGCTGTGGTGGACTATTTTTTTTTTTCAATACTGAAGCTTTCTTAGATGGGTTTTCCCCCAACTTACTGTTTCCACGCGGGGAACCATGATGCCCTCTGCTTCCGCTGAGCCACATCCCAGTGAAGCTTTCTGCTTCCAGACGAAGCCTCCTTGCCTCTGCGTTTGAGTGAAGGCATCGCCGGGGGTCCCCCAGGAAAGGCAACGCCCGAGAGGGCAGCACCCTGAGAAAACATGCCTGGCGGAGCTCTACTCCTGCTCCAGGGAGAGCCAGTGGGTGGATGGCCTGGGTGCCCGTTCCTGTGGGCAGCCCCATTCATAACCAACACTGAAATACTGGTGTGGCAGGACCTACAGTCACCAGACACCTGGGAGAAGTGACTTTTGCTCAATGCTGCTTTTCGCCACTTGTGTGGTACTGGAGAGCCAGGCACTCACGTCTTTGCCACAGCTACCCACGCGGCAGGTCTATTTTCAATCACGTTTTTCAGATGAGGAAACTTCGGCACAGAGAGGTTAGGTAACTTGCCCAAGATCACACAGCTGGTAGGGGGCAGGGCCTGGATTAGGGCTTTCAACACTATGCTGTACAGTGTGGAGGGGCTGAGCCTCATCAGAACGGATCCAGAAGGGCCTTCGTGATGATGTGCAGAGGGAGAGGAGGGCACACATCACCTGCTGGTCCCCTTCCTGCTCACTAAGACCAGAGCAGCCTGAGGTGTGGGTCCTGGCTGAGGACTCCTTTATCCAGTGTGCCGCATAATTACTCAGAACAACTCTGCCTGTGTCAAGTGGCCTTCGTGGCACTGAAGTCCTCCGAGACCATCAGACATAAACCAACAGAAACTCACTCACTTCCCAGAGCATGAACTGCCCCTCCGTGTGGATGCCCCACTCCAGAGAACGCGCAGAGTAAAAGCAGGCAGGTTAGGACGGGCCCTTAGCAATCACTAATTCTGGAGCCTTGTGTTAGGAAGGATTCCGAGGCCGTATTTGGGCCCTAAAGGAGAGTCTGTGACCAGGCGATGGTACCTGCCTTGGGTGCGGAAGTGGTGCACGCCTCTATCCTTGATCTAGTCCCCGACTCTACAGAGGAGGACACTGAGGCACAGAGTGGGGATTAACTTGTTCAACATCATGCTGCTGATTAGGGTACCATGGCCCCAGCCAGGGCTGCCCCCTGCACGAGTCCCGGTTGTGAGAACCGTGCTTTGATGACGTGAGCGGCTCAGTACCCCTGGCAGGTGCATGCGCTCTCGGCCATGGAGCCACACTGCACACAGCAGAGCAGGTCCTGGGCCAGTGTGCGGGCGGAGGCCCCTGCAGTGGCTTTGCTAGCTGGGCATTATTGGGGCAAACCCAGGACCTCTCCCTGCCTCCAGCGCCCCCTCTGTGCGCTGTCACAGACAGAGGCCCTCGTCTTTCTACTGACAGGGCACCTCATGTGTGGGCACTGCACCAGGCCCTGGAAGAGAGCTGTCAGCAGGGACCCTGGGAATCCGAATTAGCTAGAGATTATTGCTCCTTTTTTTTTGTTTTGCCCCTGGACATAGAACCAAAGATGATGTTTGAAAGAAAAACAGTTTGCTCCAATGACCGGTTATTTCGTCCACTAGGGGCTCAGCTCCTGTTGGGCCTGATTGCCCCTCTGACCAGGGTCGGGCATGCCCGCCTTGGCACAGCCGTAATCAGAGTGGAAGGCACGGCAGAGGGACCATTCTCATCCCGCCCCTCATCCTGCAGGTGGGACAAGGAGGCTCCAAGAGGAAGGGTCCAGTCACACATCCCAGGGCAGAGCCAGGACCACAGCTCCGCCTCCCCGGGTCCCAGCCTCCCTGTTGTCCAGAGCAGGTTGGACACCCCAGGGATCCAGGCCCCCCCAGCCTCTGTCCTCTGACGCAGGCAACCAGAGCATCCTTCCCTGGCGGCTCGCGCTCACTCTCCTTCCTTTGACTTGAGCTCTTGGCCCCCAGAGCCCATTCCCAGACGTCTCATAGGTCTGTTGGCCACTCCTGGTCTCCCCCACAATCAGTCACCTCCATAAGTGGCCCTCCACCTGGACACAGCCAGCATTGCTTAGGCCTGGGGACCACTCCACTTCCTGACACCGGAAATGTGGAAACTGCAAAAGAAATGTCTTTATTCTTTTAACCTTCTTAATATTTACAAAGAACAAAAAGAACAGAACTGAAAATGGCTTACACAGTGGGTGGCAGATGAACAGATGTGTAACTCTGGCTTCTGGGGTGGCCGGCAGGCAAGGGCAAAGCCCCATCGTCCCAAGTCTGCGCAGGGATGGCGGGACGATCTGTCGGGCCCTGGCCTGGTTGGGGAGGGGCCGACCACGCCTTCCCCATAGCTCCCAAGGCTGCAAGGGCTGACTCGGAGACTGCCTGAGAAGCCCCTGCCCCAGGCCTGCCCTCCCCCTCCCACACATGCACAAAGGGAAGGCTCCCAAGAGGCTACACTGCCGCCCAGCCCACCTCTCACACGGAGAGCTCCTGGGGTCCCCGACACCCCTGCAGGCTGGAGGTGGGGGCCGAGGCCCTCCTGGCCGGGCTAGAGGTAGCCAAAGACGTTGAAGATGGGTGGGGGCACGGCCGGCTTGGTGGGGATAGGCTTCAGGACCACGGGTCTGTACACTTTCTGCCCTGGGCCATCCACATCCTTGCAGAAGTGGGCCAGCTCCCCTGGGGAAGCTGGGCTTTTCCTCCAGAGGCCCAGGCTGGGGACCGGGCTCTGAGGCAAGGCCCCTGGAGGGCCCGGGTAGATGGGCTGTCCATGGTACTGGAAGGGGCAGCAGCTCCAGGCATTGACACGGCCCACCAGGGAGACCCCAGGCATCTTGAGTGGCTCCTTCTCAGCGGGTGCCCTTGGGGATGCGGGCACGGGGGCCGTCTCGGGCCCCACGGGCTCCAAGCCCTTGCAGTGTTTCTTACCCTCATAGGGAGGTCCCTCCCTGGGGCCCAGTCCCCCCTCCAGCCCCAGGGGGTAGCTGTGGGTGGGCCGCGGCTCTTCCCAGAAGGAAGCAGGCAGCTGTCTTTTCCTCATGGGCACCTGGCCAGGCCTGGCAGCTTCTGGATTCTGCCCCTGTAGGGTCTGCTCCTTGGAGAGACATTCCTCCCTGTAGGGGTTCCCCAGAGCCTTCTCCGTGCAGCCCCCACCCCCGCCAGGGCTGGAATCCTGGCCAGCACCCAGGGGCAGCCTCCCGGGCCGGTCCTCAGGCCCCCTTTTCAGGTGAGGCTCGGCTCCTCTGCCGGGGAGGCCCCGGGGGAGCCGGGAATACTTCTGGGAGAAGCGTTTGAGCTGCTTCTGCAGGTACTTGCGGTGGTCCACAGAGCGGCGGCAGGGCGCCGACTTGTCCAGGGCCGCCTTGATGTCGCTGGACGCCAGGTTCACAAAGTTCAGCAGCATCTTCACGTCACTGTCGGATGCCATCACCAGGGGGCCTCTGCACGGAGCTTTCCATGAAGAGGGTGGGTTCTGCGGGGGGCTGGCAGCTCCAGAGAAGGGCACAGGGCGGACCTGGGGAGACACATAGGCCATTGGAGTCTCTGGGATCAGCCACGCCCAGCCCTCCCCAAAGGCCGCATGGCTGCAGACAGTGGCCCCAGACCCAGACCCCTCAGCCCTAAACAAAGTCTTGGGTAGTGGGATTCCCACTCAAGCCGCCTAGCACTTCCTGAGCGTCTGTGATGGGACAGGCGCCAACAGAACCTCCTGTAGTTTTCTTGGGTCTGTGGCCCTCCACTTGCAGCTGAAGCTCAGAGAGGTTGGGGAACTTGCCCAAGGTGACCCAGCTACAAGTGTCATCCCTGGGGCTGGAGCGCGAGTCTCGGCGCTCCCAGCCCACGGTGTCTCCCACACACCATGCTGCCAACGTGCACAACTTGCCAGCAAGGTTTTTACTTTCTGAGCTGAAGCGACTGCTCCGTTTTCAAGCAAGGCCAAGCCCCCTCTCTCCCTGGTGGCGCTCTCCTCCTCCCGCCCCCACCCCAGCCCTCCTAGCATCAACCCCCCTCCTTGGTCCCCACGCTCCACCCCCAGCTCTCACGCAGGACAGGCAGGTCCCCTGTCTGGCACTCAAGCCCGGGCCTGCCGGGCGGGCTGGTCGCAGGCTGTGGGCAGCAGGACGCCCCCGTAGAAGCATCTGCAGCAATTTCATGCCTCCTCGGCCGCCACCCGCAGCACCTCACCCCTCCCCCAGGCCCCAGCCGGCCCCACGCCCCCACCCAGTCTGGCCAAGCTGCCTGGGCCTCCACACTGACCGAGGGTGCCGGGCCCCGGGCCCCACCAACGTGGCCCGGCAGGTTCCCCGCCGCAGACCTGGGCCCGGCCCGGCGCGGCCGGCGAGCTCCGTGCGTCCGGCTGCAAGCGGTTGTGCAGCCCTCGAGTGGGTTGAATGGAGACCGAGTCCCGGGAGCTGGGGGGCCCCTCAGGCCAATCAGGAGCGCCTCTCCAGATACAAAGCATCCCAATCAGGCGGCAGCGCCCCGTTCCCACATTCTTTGCCATCACAAATTGTCACCATGGGGACCATCACAAAAAAGACAGCTCCCAAATGCAATCATTTCCCGGTAAATTTCTACCCTTCAGCCCCACTCTCTCCTCGGCTTCCACGCCCCTCCTCCCCTTGACCTCGGTTCCCTGGTTTCTCGAGGGGGCGGGGTGTGTGTGCGTGTGTGTGTGTGTGTGTTTAAAAAGTCCAGGACTGAGGAGGGGCCTGGCCCAGAAGAGATGGGCCTGCACACCTCCCCCAGACTCCGGGCCTACAGCTGCCATGCTCCAGTGCAGACAGACAATCGGACGGGGTAAGCCGGGCGGGCGGGCTGCTTTCCCCGCTGTCCTTGAGTGTTGAGTGGTGCTCTCCTCTCTCTCTCCCTCTCTCTCTCCCCCTCTCTCTCCCCATTCCCCCTTCCCAGGCACAGGGCCCTGGGGGCCTGTGAGCACACACACTGCTGTCTGCTGTCGGCAGAGGTAGCGGAGGCAGGGCCCTCTAGCGAGGGGCTGGCATACCCATGGGAAGGCAGCGGAACCCTCAGGAATCTTGTCTTTATGTTTGCTTCCTCAATTGAGCTGCACAAAGCCTGAATTGCCCATTCAGCGCGGCCGGACAAAAGGCTGGCGGTGCACGGTCCCCTTGCATTTGTAGTCAAACAGTTAGGGACTTAAATCGAGTCGTCATGATGGAGAAAGAGGTGGACAAAGCCCATAGAATTGCCATCAGCAAACATTTTCCTGTGTCATATTAGCCAGTCTCCATGGCTCCCCCTGGCCCGGGGACAATGGCACAAGTTTGCACACTTGGCTACTGTCACCGTGCCAACGCCGGCGGGGCCGCAAGCAGGGCCGCTCTGAGCAAGCAAGGGAGCCCAGCGCCGCTGGCCGTTGGCCCTGCCCACCGAGTGGCCAGAGGGAAGGTGAGGCGCGGGCGGAGGGCGGCTGCCTGGGAAATGCTGATGGGCGAGGCCTCCGTGCCAGCCAGCCCGGGCGGCCCCTCCGCCTCCCGCCTTTCTCCTCATGCTCTGCCTCCTCTTTCCCGTCCTCCTCTCCTTCTTTTTCCTGGCCTTCTCCCCTTTCCTCTGCCACTTTTTCCTCCTGTCCCCTGGTTGGTCAAATGGCTGGTGATCTATACACCAACCCACCTTTTTGCACCACCACCTAAAATGCCAAGGACTCCTCTCTGAGGTCTCACTGCCCAGATGGGAGCACCAGCCAGGCAGGGGGCCTCACCCAGGAGCGATGGTCCTACCCCCTCCTGCTGGCCAATAGGCAGCTGCTGCTGGCGTGAGGCACCTGCCCGTGGTGGCCTGCCTCCAACCCACCTCCCCCTCTGGCCTGAGGCTCCCTAGAGCCCAAATGAAGGGTTTGGAGCAGACGGCCCAGTGCAGACATGCGGTAACTCACTTTAGGCATTTAGGAGCGGGTACAGTATTCTCTGTGCCCCCTTCCCCTGCAGCGGGTGTCGGGGAAGCGTGGACTGAGATGGAGGTGACCCTGGACTGAAGCATCCTGGATCATTGGCCATCACATGGCCGGGAGGGTGGCCCCTACCTGCAGTAGCCTTTGTGTTAAGTGGGAGCCAAACCATCTTCGTTTTAAACCCATGAGATTTGGGGATTGTTTCTACAGCATAACCCAGCACACCTTAACTGGCACAGGCAGGAAACGCCCTTTCTGCTCCAAGCACCCTGCTCACACAGCTAGAGAAAACGCCCCAGGTCACCAGGTTAGGCTCCCGCACGACTCCTGCCCGGCACGGGTGCCTGCTGCCTCCTGCTGGAACCAGGGTGCACAGCCACCAGCTCGTTCGAATCTCTCCCGAAGCCAGTGTCGGCCCGCCACACCGCCTTCTCCATCACTCTCGGCTGGGACCCTGGTCCCAAACCAGCCGGCTCCATTTCCGCCCTGGCCTCCTGCTCCAGGCATCTACTTATGTCGGCCCCTCTCGCTGGGACACCCTCTCCGTTTGAAGAGCATGGCGACGTGCTCAAGCCGCTCCTCTGGATCTCAGCTTCCTCGAAGGCCCCACGGCGCCTGAAGCCATGTCAGCCCGTCCTGGTGCTGCCTCCTTGTGCTGGCCTCCTCCCACTTCTCAGCCAATAATGTCCCCAACAGGTCAGCCAGCTCCATGGGGCTCAAGTCCATATCTTAAAACATCCTCTGTAGCTCTAAACATGGGCTGTTCTTCCCATGTGTTCTTCCCACTTTTTGAGGAAAGAGGGAAGGAAAGAAGAAAAGAGGGAGGAGAGGAAGAAAGGGAAGAGAAAACTGGAACGAACAAAACTGAGGCTTGTTGGACTTGTGCCAAGAGCCGTGATGGACGATCGCACACGGAAGACGCACCTGACCCCGCGACAGCTCGGTGAGGGGGTTATGGTGGCCATGAGGCTGCGTTACTCTCCCAGGGCCTCACTGCTAATAACTGGCAGAACTTGAACCTGAAGTCGGGCCCGTCTGCGTGCAAAGCCTGTGTGGCTCCCGTCACCCGTGTGGCTTCCCTGAGCTCCGACTGAGCACCGGGCACTGAGTGAGTGCTGTGGGGTTGGAAGGCCTCCCAGACCAGATTTTCTGCATAAATCCTGGGTTCTGCCCTCTGTCCCTCCGTGAGGACGGGACTCCGTCTTCTGACTCAGGAGCATGGGAGCTGGCGCTGCGGGAGATCAGTGGAGGGAGAGGAGGCAGCTGGGGCTTAGACTGGGGCCCAGGAACCTGACCCATGGCCCCACACTGAGCTGGTGACACCCCAAGCCTCAACATTCGACCCTTGCTGGGGAGGCCTCCTCTGTGTTTTTCTGGCCATAGAGACAGGTGGAAAAACATCAGTAATAATTATGCCTGTTCTAGAGAGCCCTTGCACAGTCATTCTCTCATGTGGTCCTGCCTCTGGGCAGGGAAGAATTTGTTTCCCTGTTTACAGTTGGTGACACACTCAAGGACAAGCCTCAAACCTCTGATTTTTGGGCCCAACTCAGGGCTACTCAGTCAACTCTGTCCTCTTGGCATTCTTCAAGGCCCAGCTCAAACATCCAGGAAGACTTCGACCAACTCCCAGCATTATATGTGATACCCTCCCCATTGCTATGTTTATGGATTCAAAGATGAAGTCTAACCTCCTTAGCTTAACACAGAAGGCCCTTTGTAATCTGACCCCTACTAAGGCCTTGCACAGAGTAGCTTCTCACTACAATGTTTCATGAATTAAATACTTTGCCCATTCCACTGAATACAATTCTTCCTGTGGACTGGAAACAATTGCTTCCTGTCTTGTTTTTTCGTTTATTGTTTGTCCCAATCAGCCAACTCAACCTGGGGGAGCCACATGAGAGCAGAGAACTTGTCTGCTGGTTCCTCTCTGTATCTCCAGTGACTAGAATGGCCTTGGCACAGAGCAGGCCTTCATGAAGGACCCTTGTGGTTGCTATGGCTGTACCTAATGCTGAATTGTCTGTGTTCCCTCGGGACTGCGGGTGCCTTGAAAGCAGGAGGCACCGTTTCACAATGGCGTCCCCTTGTGTCAGAACAGGGGTTCCAAAAAGCTCCATTAAGAGCAAGGGAGCTGTGTTGGACTTGAACTTGAGGGTTCCTTCCGACCTCCTCCTGTGGCTGCCGTGGACCTCCAACACTCAGGCGGTGCTAACCTGACCTCAAGTCCATTCACACCATTCAGCGTCAGGGACTCGCAGCCTCGAGTCCACTCCATTCAGCACCTGCCATGTGCCAGCGCCCAGCAGGGGCGGGGTGGGCTTCGCTGGCTTGCTCTTCTGTTCCCGAGGCAACTTGTTGGAGGCAACGGCGACCTTGTCTTGATGACTGAACAGCTGTCTTCTGCCCACCCCTCAGGGAGGCAGGATGACATCCTAACTGGCTTCGATTTCCCAAAAAGCCACTCGGAGCCACCCGTCCAGAATCTCTGGATGCCGTCTGACGTAATCCACTTCTAGGATCTAGCCCACACAGGCGCAGGCAGAAAGCAAAAGCAAGAGGAGGCTGTGTGACAATGCCGTGCACCGGCCAAGCCCCAGGGGACCGGTCATCTGGGGTGGTGGACTTTCAAATTGCTTTTATGCAGAGAAGCCCATTCAAAAAATTATCATGTGGGAGTCCAGTATGTAAAACAGTGACAGCAATGTGGTGAGGACAGATTTATTTTACACCCGCAAACGCACGCTTTCCACTTATTTTGCAAGCAATGAATTAGAGCAAGGAGGCTGTTTTGGTGGCAGAGAGCTTCGAAATCAGGGGCGATGGGTTACGGTCTGACATCAGCCGTACTTTGTTTTGGTTGCAGAGTATTTAGAAAATCTTGATTTAGAGAGAGAAGCAGCTGCAATGGTAATTTTTTTTTTCAAGCGTATCTCGCAATCTCAGGATAGTCCTCGAATGAAAAGGAATCGTCTAAGAAGCTTTATTAGCTAGTTCCCAGAGGAGTTAGCCAGTTAGCTGCCCAGGTTAACCAGTTGGCAGCCAAGGGTGTCAACTTGTGAGTTAAAAAGCGTTTGAGTGTGTGTTTATTTGTTGGCACAGTTTTTAGAATGGAATATTTTAAATTGCCAAAAATAAAATTTAAGGGAAATTTTACATTTCCACGCCTCTCTAGAAAGTTCCAGAAGATGGGTACCTTCTCGTTTTAGAGGTGAAGAGAGTGAGGGCCAGATAGTGGTGGTGATTCAGCCAGGGCGACAGAGCCGGGTAGACGCAGGAGGAGCCCGCAGCTCTGCTCTCCCGGCAGCCCTGTGTGCACGCCGATGCCCAACAGCGACACTGTGGCGCTCAGAGCTCGGGTCCACTCAGCACTTGCCCCTGATGGGAGTAGGGAACGTGTATTAAGCTGTTTGTCCTTCCCAGGTGCCATGATCACTGTCTTTAATAGATAAGGAAACTAAGGCACAAATCATCTAGGAAACTTGCCCAAGGTCCCCTGGTCAGTAAATGACGGAGCTGGGAATGCGATGCTGGCAGCCAGATCCAGACCCTCAGTCATGACCCTCAGATGCTGCTGTTCACTACTGATGACGGTGAACCAACGCACAGGCACTCACTCCCTCCCAGG